CCTCATGAATTTCCACACTGTAATGGAGGAAATTCACAATAAACTAGTCAAAAATAGAGTAGAAAGTGGTAACATTCTGGACAAAAAGCAGAATATAGCAGACTAGAAATGTGGGGATGGCCTGGAGGGATGGCTGTTACCTGATATAATTGATCAAAAAAGGCTCTATTCATCAAGCAGTTTTGAATATAAGACCTCAAGGAAAAGAGAACATCAAGTACAAACTAGTTTTTGCAGGTAAGTACTTGCCATGTTTAAGAGCATCAGGTTTGGCATGGCTGTACTGGACTAGCAAAGGAAGAGTAGCTAATGAGGCTTGGAAAGGCAACGAGGCTTCACACACGGCTGTAAGGACTTTGGCTTTTACTGTGAGTGGGATGAAAAGCCACTGAAAAGCTTTAAGCAGAGAGTATAATGATCTGACTTTGATCATAAAAGGAGAATTTGGGCTGCTCACGTGAAAGCAGACCGAAGAAGGTAAGTCTGAAAGCAGTTAGTCAGGAGATCAGTACTATAACCCTGGTGAAAAATGAGGGTGGCTAGAACTAGTATGGTGGTAAAAATAATGAGAAGTAGCCACACTGTGAATGTATTTTGAAGTCAGTTGACAGGATACGATGTTGAAAGAACAGTTAATAATGACTCCAGTATGGAAGATGAGAACAAACAGAAGAGCACAGTTGACATTTATTGAAATAAGTAAGATCAATTTGGAGAGAGAATAAAATCAAGAGTTCACTTCTATATATGTTAATTTTGAGATGTCTATTAGAAATACAATTGTAGATGTTAAGACAGCTCTCAGTCTGAAGTTCAGGGAAGGAGACCAGGTGGAGATAAAAATTGGATAGTCAGCTTATAGATGTTATCAACTAGAAAGCTGGTATGAATAGAAAAGAGAAGGTATCTGAGGACTGAGACCTTGAGCACCCCAGCATTTAAAAGCCCTAGAGATAAGGAGGAACTTGCAAAGGAGGCTGAGAAGAAGCAGTCAATGAGGTAGAAAGAAAACCAGAAGAATGTAATACCAGGGACTCAAATGAAGAAAATGTTTCAAGGAGGGGGCAATCAAGTGAGTCAAAAACCAGGCCAAGGAAGAAGAAAAATGACCTGTGGATTTAACAATATAGATGTCAGGAGCTGTTTCACAATAGCTGTTTCATAACAGCTGTGACAAAGAAAGCCAAGAGTGAAGTGAGTTCAAAATGAAATGAACTGGAGACAGTACAGACAATCTTTTGGGAAAGTTTTATTGTTAAAGGGACCAGAAATTTAGAGAGGTAGTTGGAAGGACATGAGGGAAAGTTCCTTTTTAAAAAGACTTAAGATACGGGATATTTGTTTGCTAACATGAATGATTCAGTAGAGAAAAAAAAGTATAATGATGCAGGAGAGAGTGCAAAGTACTACGGCAGGCAAAAAAGAATCATAGTACGCCAACGGTTGAGTTTACTCTAGATGGGAACAGAAACAGGTCATCCAAAGTAAAAGGAAGAAAGGCAAAATGTTTGCCAACAGATAAGACTAACTAGCAGAAGTGATTGTGGGAAAGTTTTCTTCTAACTGCTTCTATTTTCTCAGTGAAGTAGGAAGAAAGCATTGGTCCTTGTGAAAAGCAAGGAGAAGGTAAAAAATTATCACCTAGAAAGTAGAAGAATAAATGCACTGAGGAAATATAATAGGGTGACCAGAAGGTGCTAATTTGACATTGTTGGTTACATATTGAAAGTTAGGCTAGTTAAAATAGTCATATGCTTTCCTCAGCCATATTCCACAGACCAGGTTAAGGCACAAAGGAAGTGGAGAGTTGGATTTCACAAAGTTTTTTGGTTATTGGTAATAATGGAAGAAAGGGCAAGAGAGTTGAGCCTTTGGAAATTATTATAAATGATTATAGAATTTAAGTCAGGTAAGGAAAATGGAAACAAGAGAGAGAGAGAATAAAAGAATCTAGTAGGATCCATGGATCCAAATGGGACAGATGTTTTGGAGGCAGACTCCTAAAGGAATAATGAAGTAGTGATCAGGGAGTGGAATGATTATAAATGAGGCTTAGAGTTATTACTGATAATGCAAATTTTAATGGCATGGCAATAGGTGAGAGTTTTAAGTTAAAGTGAGAGACAAGATGATTTAAAGGGGAATGATCCAGAAAATAAGCCAGGCTCATGGTGGTGGCTCATGCCCGTAATCCCAGAACTTTGGGAGGCCAAGGCACGAGCATTGCTGGACCCCAGGAGTTTGAGCCAAGCCTGGTAAGACAGTGCAACCCCATCTCTACAAAAAATAGAAAGTCAGCTGGGTGTAGTGACACTTGCCTGTGGTTCAGTTATTCCGGAGGCTAAGGAGGAAGGATTGCTTGAGCTCAGGAAGTGCAGGCAGTAGTGAGCCATGACTGCGGCACTGTATTCTAGCCTGGGCAACAGAGCAAGACTCGTTCTCAAAAAAAGAAAAAAGAAAGAGAAAGAAAATGAAAACAAAAGGCCTTGTTCTATAGGTAGTATAATCTTTTTTTATACGAAAACTGCAAAGAACGATGACAATGTTGGGAGGAGTGACAGTGGTCAGGTGTTAAACTCTTCAGAAGATAAGCGTCTACAGATGACCCTAACATAGAGTGATACAGTCTGGTAGCAGAAGCATCAAGGTAGAGGGATGAGGAGAATGGCAGGGTTAGGCAGCAGGGAGAGTCTGGCAATGAAAAGCAAAGGAAACACTTCCTTCACCTACCTCTAGACCCAGTAACACTAAGGGATGAGAGAGAAAACAGGTAGCATGTAAGAGAGCTACAGAACAGTGCATTCGGAGACAAGCCAGGTTTTCAAGCAAAAAAGGTGAAGACATATTTAGAAGTTTAAAATACAGTGAACTTTGCTAACAATGTACTATAAGAGTTTTCTGGAAGAGACTATGCGTTGGTGCAAAAGTAATTGCAGTTTTGCTTTCAATGACAAAAACCCTGATTACTTTTGGACCAACATATAGAAAACTATGCAGGGGGTGGGGGCAGATCAGGGTATGACCAGAGTCATCTGGTGATGGGAAAGTCTAGGCAACGAGGGAAAGCTGGAGTCCTGGGCTTCTTGTAGTGACTGAAGTAAAGAGAGATAAAAGGGTAAAATGGAATTGGCCCACTCAGGTTCGAATACAGTTTTTAAAAGAAAGATAAAATCGGCCAGGCGCGCGGTGGCTCACACCTGTAATCCCAGCACTTTGGGAGGCCGAGGTCGGCAGATCATCTGAGGTCAGGAGTTCGAGACCAGCCTGGCCAACATGGAGAAACGCCACCCCTATATACTTAAAAAGAAAAATAAAAATAAAACCAGAGTGCCAGTTAGCATATTGCCCCTTAGCTCCAAATCTACTCTTCATTGTCCAGCTTGTGATGCTAGAGCTGGATGTTGTAAACATTTCTTCTTTGCTTGCTATCATGATATTAAGCTATGTCAGTAAAATTGAGAGGGTCAAGGTGAAGAAGCTTCTCTTCCTGATTAGCACACTTCTTTTCTTCTTGTTACCACAGCAGGTGGGACACACAGCAGCACTCACCCCTACAGGCACCTTCTAGGAGTGTTTGGCCAGTGCCCCTAGCAGCTTCCCTGTGAGTTTCAGCAGCATCTGCAATGACCACTTCCCAGAGTTCTGCTGATGCTCAGCCAGCATCCCAGCCAGAGCAGCACCAGGCAAGATCCCCTGGCATCCCAGCAGCCTTCCCAGTGAATTCAATGACTACTCAAGTGGCTTTCCAGTACAATCTACTGACACTCCAGGCAGTTTCGTCAGCTCCACAGCGGACACTTTCCTCTTTGCCAGCCCCAGACTGTGTTGCCATCGAGTGAGCTATTGCCATACCCCACCCAGTAAGGTCTGAATCTCAGCCTTAAGGATGGGGTTCAGGTTTCTTTTAAAAATTGTGTCTTCTTTGGGTATTCTGCCTCAGCACTAAAAATAGCAGCTGCTTCCTAGTATGTATCAGCTATTACTGTATGCTTTTAAAAAAGTTTTATGATCTCTAGTCCTCTCATTTTGTTGTTTATTACAATTTTTCAACTTTTATTTTTTTTTGAGACAGAGTCTCACTGTCGCCCAGGCTGGAGTGCAGTGGTGCAGTCTTTGACTCACTGCAACCTCCACCTCCCAGGTTCAAGTGATTCTCCTGCCTCAGCCTCCTGAGTAGCTGGGACCACAGGTGTGTGCCACCACACCCAGCTAATTTTTGCATTTTTAGTAGAGATGAGTTTCACCATGTTGGCCAGGCTGGTCTGGAACTCCTGACCTCAGGTGATCCACCCACCTCACCCTCCCAAAGTGCTGGGATTACAGGTGTAAACCACCATGCCCAGCCTATGATAGATTTTAAACAAGATGACTGATTATTCCTACCATATAAAGTTTATCTTACAGCAGTGTGTATACATATGTATCTAAGCCAGTGTTTATGTATATGTATGTGTATGTGATCCAAAATAAAACCAGCTCTGTATATCAAAGCATGTAGCTACTGACGTAAGGAAAGTGTCAAATTCCTGCAGCTATCACTACGTTCTTGGGCAGGTTGCTTAAATGCTGCAGGCCTCCATTGTTCATCTGAAATATGACAGATTACATGACCACATTCCTTCCAGCTCTAAGATTCTATTTATATGATTGTGAATTCTCAAATACTAAATATTTCCAGATTTTTATCAAGAACGTCATACGTATTTATTTCATTTATGTACAAAAACAAATGGCTTTGCTTAGGTTGTTCGAAAGTTATTTCATTTATAATGTCACTCGCTTTTTATTTCACTAATTATATTACTTAATATATTTACTTAATGATTTTCTATGACTCCTGTAAGGCTTCTCAGTTTTAGAGGATTGGTAAAGCACAGAAGGACACTCCTTGGTAACTTAATAAAAGCAATTCTATAATATCAAGGTAACAGAATTGAGCTGCAATGAAACAAGGTTGAATTGAATTTGTGACTAATACACAGTCTGTAACATGATCATACCTGTTTATGTTTTTGCAGTGGTTTCTTTTCGTGTAATTTTTTATCTCCATATTTCTTGTATGTTAAAGGTATTCCATATTTAGCAGCAGGCTTTGTAATTTTCTGAGCAGGCATAACAGAAATGGAGTTTTGTCCTGAAGCTGGTCTTTTAGCTACACGAAAAGATACAAAGAATTTTGTCAGCAGTTCTTTATATTAACTCTTTACTTTCGGAATTCTTCAAAATAGCACTTTTTAATTTTAATAATCATTGATTGTATTTGAAACTTTCCATCATCTATCTTATTCATCCCTTAGTATTTATTAATGCCTTAACTATTTTACCCTAAAGTCACTTTTTGACAGATGCTTAAAGCCAAATTCCTCTAACATGCTAAAGTTTTTCATATTAAAAAAAATCCCTATAATTGACTGTGGGTAATTATTGCATGTATTGGCGAATATACTAAAAAAAATTAATCATGAATATACAAAAAAAACATTTAGTTGTAGACTTCAAATGCATAAACTGTATGGTATGTGAGTTATGTATCGATAGAGCTGTTAAAAATAAATTTTAAAAAATTTATTTTAGAAACTACTTTCAAAATCAAAAGAAAATCAAGAGAAACTGATAAGCTTTAATGACATCAATATAAGCAACTTTTATCCTTCATATAATGTCTGAATGATATAGACCTACAGACCTGTCAAAGGAGAAATATCTTAAAACAATCATCATCACTAAGGGTTCCACAAAATGGATACCTTATAGACTGTTGGCAGAAATATAAATTGGTTAAACTTTCTGGAGAGCAATCTAAATTAAGAATACTGTTTATGATCTGATATTAAAGAAATAATCAGAGAAACCCCATGCACAACAGTAAACCCTGCAGTGTTACATATTTAATCCTTATTGAAGCCTAGGTGAGTTCAGTCTTAGAAGGAATAAATTCAAGAGAAAAACCCTAAAGTAATAAAAAGAAAATTCCACTATTTATTCACATCTTTGGAGGATATTAAAAGAAGTCAGAGTACAGTCTACATAAACCTTTAGCGAAACCCTCTCTCCATCTCTTATTTTCTGTATGTGCTAAGACACCCCTCTGCTCAAACTCCCCCAAAGCCTGAGCAGCAGCTTGCTTGCTTCCACTTCCAGACCACTGTCTAGCTCAGGATTTCATAACGTGCTAAACTAACTTAAATCAATCTCTTCCAGAAGTGTTCTTCCTTTTTAGGAGGGGAAAGAAAAAAAATCTATAACTGATAGTTCAAAATGAAATATGACAAAACTGGGCCGGGCGCGGTGGCTCAAGCCTGTAATCCCAGCACTTTGGGAGGCCGAGGCGGGTGGATCACAAGGTTAAGAGATTGAGACCATCCTGGTCAACATGGTGAAACACCGTCTCTACTAAAAATACAAAAAATTAGCTGGGCATGGTGGCGCGTGCCTGTAATCCCAGCTACTCGGGAGGCTGAGGCAGAAGAATTGCCTGAACCCAGGAGGCGGAGGTTGTGGTGAGCCGAGATCGTGCCATTGCACTCCAGCCTGGGTAACAAGAGCAAAACTCTGTCTCAAAAAAAAAAAAAAAGAAATATGACAAAACTCAGTTCTTCAAAAAAATGTGACTGTATTAGAAAATGTTCATCATATAATAGCATAAATTAAAAGAAACAAAACTTCTAATAACATTCTCAATGTGTAGTCACTATGCATAAATCATCAAAAAAATAATCAAATACAACTGTGTGTTAAAACTGGAGTAATTTTTATTTCCTTAAAACATTTTTATAATGAATATATATATATATTTAATATAATTTAGTAAACTCTTTTAAAAATAACAACAATATAAGCCATTAAGTTGGCATCTTAGAGATTCAGAAGTAATTTCTGTTGACAATATGGGATATATGATGTGATATGGAAAGGTTTCCCAAACACATACTCCAACTGCATCTTGACCCAGAAACCAGGAATCGCAAGGAAAAAATATTTCCCTTTGAATGTTCAACTGTACAATCAAATTAGAACTTACAGATACATATATACACACATACACATACAGTCACAATACTGCAACCTGGCTAAACAATGAAATCAAAGAAATACAGTGTATGCCAGAAAAGGGGCTAGAGGTACAAAAGCATAAAAAATAAAGATTTCTAAGAAACAGATAAGAACAGTCCCATCTACTTTCCAGAGAAAAGGAAGAATTACTTAATTGATTATTGAGCATTTTTCAGGATCAGTGACAAGGCTACCTACGGCATGAAGTCTAATGTAGGGAACTGGAGACCACGAAGTATTTATCAGCAATACTACCCCTATTAGGCATTTCATTCCACCAAATGCTCTTACAGCAAATTACTTTCTAATTCCTACATGGGTTTACCCATGTGGAAAGAAAACGCTGATACTGGGTATTTCTGGCTTTTGTGACAAAGAGACTTTTGATTAAGATATGATTCCTACGAAGCTTGACTGCCGACTGTGCAGAGAAATCATGCTGATTCTGTTGAGTACCTCAGTTTCCTGTGAATTCTGTTTGAGTGACTTCTCAGGGATTGGTGGTTTCTGCACAATGGGAGGATGTCTACAGGTCTTGAAGAAGGGCTGAGTGCAGTCTGCCTTCCTAAGAACAAACACACTGCCATACCACTTCTAGCTAAATGGGCTCATTTTTATGATATGGCATCTATTTTCATTAATTTATCCAAACTCAAAATGGAGTAGAACATACAAATAATTATGTTTGAAAAAATATATAACCTTCACATATTAAATAACTTCCACTGATTTTAGAAATCCATCCTGAAATCATTCCATTCAGGAAAAAAAATAATTACCCTCTCACATAGATACATGTAAACACATACACATAGTATGTAACCATATCCACAGTCTTACGATTCTAATGCCACTGGTCACATTGTTTAAAAGAAAACCTGTCTTTAATAAAGTGCTTTACTTCACATTCACTTACTTGAAAAAATTCAGAATATGAAATATTTCTCAAAGATAATATTTTATGGCCAGGTGGCTCACCTGAGGTCAGTAGTTCAAGACAAGCCTCGCCAACATGGTGAAACCCCATCTCTACTAAAAATACAAAAAATTAGCTGGGCATGGTGGTAGATGCCTATAATCCCAGCTACTCAGGAGGCTGAGACGGGAGAATCACTTGAACCCAGGAGGTGGAGATTGTAGTGAGCCAAGATCGCTCCACTGCACTCCAGCCTGGGGAACAAGAACGAAACTTCATCTCAAAAAAAAGACAGTATTTTATATAAAGATTTACACCAAAATTGGACATTTTATAATTCTATAACAACATTCTCAAAACATCAGCTATGCATTTGATAAGACATAAGATTTCAGGCCAAATTTCATTTAAATAAAAGACAGGAAATGTTATTAATTTGTAAGAAATATATATTGCCATAAATCATTTAGTAATTCTAATTTGCAGTTCCACTGGATTAAATTTATCCTAGAATTATCCCAACTTACTATATCTACATATATTTCCAGTGTAATTAGGTTTGATTACCACAAACAGATGAAAGGCTTCATATCAGATTTCATTTACCTGGTACAGGCTGTGACCCAAACTTTGAAAATGTTTTCAGACAGAATTCTTCTGCAATAAGCTTAGATTGAAAGAGAAAAAAAAATTAGAAAAGATGTTACATTTTTGAAATAAAAAACCTACCCATTAATCATAATACATTTTCCCATTTTTTAGTAATAATTACGTTGTCAAAAAAACTGTACTAAAATCAAGTTGGAAAAAAAAAAAAGGCAGCTGTTGTGGTTCATGCCTGAAATCCCAGCACTTTAGGAGGCTGAGAGGAGGACTCCTTGAGCACAGGAATTAGAGGTCAGCCCTCCCAACATAATGAGATCTCATCTCTATTTTAAAAATTAAGAAAAATTTTAAAAATTCATTCAATAAATTCCTCTCATGCTAACTCCCTCCCAATATTATTAATGTATATATCTATATGTTTTTGAGACAGGGTCTTGCTTTGTCTCTCAGGCTGGAGTACAGTGACACAACAGTGGCTCACTATAGCCTTGACCTCCCAGGCCCAAGCAATCCTCCCAACTCAGCCTCCTGATTAGTTGAGACCATAGGTGTAATTCCAGCTACTCAGGAGGCTGAGGCAGGAGAATCACTTGAACCCAGAAGGCAGAGGTTGCAGTGAGCCGGGTCCAGCCTAGGTAACAGAGACAGACTCAGAGTTAACTGGATTTAAGCTTTTTTTTTTTTTTTCTTACTTTGTGGGGAAGGAAAAGGCAAGTGAATTTTTTTTTTCAAGAGAACCGAGCTTTGGTGAGAGAATCTTCCTACAGTAACAGTGGTCCAGACACTCCAATAGGCAAAAAAATAATAATACATGATCTCAGGGGGTCATTTTTCCCGTTAAGAAAACCCCTAGAGCAGTTCTCAAAGTCTCATACTAGCAGTACCAGCATCACCTGGAACTTACTAAATATGCAAAGGCTCCACCTCAAAATTACTGCAACTGAGACTGTGGCAGTGAGACTCAGCAATGCCCTCTAGGTGATTCTGATGTGTGCTCAAGTTTGTGAACCTCTTCACTAGCGGACAAATGTAAGAGCCAAGTCTGGCTCACAGGCACTTTAGAGCAACTATGTGAAGGTGCGCTGTCTTCTCAACAAATGCAGTTTTTTACTTTTCTTTTTCTTGGAAGAAAACAGGTGGTTTATGATCTCCATCTTGTCCCCAAATAGAACCATTTCTTCCACTGTCGGAGAAGTCTTTCTTTTTCTATGTTAATGCTCATGTGAATTGAGAGATGGGGCATATAGAATCCAAGATCCTGAAACCTCCATATTGTGTTGTCCAGTAGAGTAGCCACTACCCACATATATATATTTGAATTAAAATTTGAGAGAGAGAGACATATATATGTATAAAGCTTTTCAGTCATTCCAACAACATTTCAAGTGCTTATTAACCACATGTGGCTAATGGCTGCAATACTGAACAACACAGACACAGAGCACTGTCATCATCACAGAGCATTCTACTGGACAGCACCTATATTCCTAATGAATCAGAACTTGTCCATGGTTTTTCAAGCCATATCCAGGAATAACTTGCCAGAGTGCATCAGACTAAAAACTATGCCCTATCAACCATGGCAGATGGCCTTGAGAGGATTTAGGTATTAAAATGATAGGGAGCATTATAGTGATACTGGAAATAATAGTTCATATGTTAAAGTAAAGCTCATGAATTGTTCCAAAGTTATAGCCTTTCCAAAAATGTGTCACAACTACTCAGGAGGCTGAGGTGGGAAGACTGACTGAGCTCCAGAGGTGGAGGTTGCAGTGAGCTGAGACTGTGTCACTCTGCTCCAGCCTGGATGACAGAGTAAGACTAAGTACTGAAGTGATATACAGTAGAAAATAAATCTGAGGAACAATAGACAAAGGTTTTTATGAAGACTGAAATCTAAGTGGTGCTTAAATAGCAACAAGTAGGGTCTATGTATATATTAAACATGTAATGTCAAATGCTCTATTTGTGAGTAATCACAATCTGTCCTTGTTTCTTTTCATATTGTAGTTTTGCACATTTTAAGCTTGAATATTTTCTCTTTCATTGCTAGCTAGATAAATTCCAGTACTTCAGCCTTGAGACAGTATGTTCCAACTCCCAGCAGGGGGAGAAAGAAACCTGAGCAAGACTAAATAAAGTCATTGTTTCTCTCTAGTGGCTGCCAGAAAAACAATAGTACACTATATCATAAAAGTGTCCTTGCAAACATTATTTGTAACAAAGGAGTCTTGTAAGGCGCCCACATTTCAGAGGTTGTTGCTATGACCTATACAAGTAACCTATGACCTCTAAAGTTTAGTTGGCTTTCTTGCTTACTAATGCCTTCTCCTGGTAGTAATAGTTAAATCAACATCTCTGTTTTCTGAAGAGTATTTGGTCACATGCGTGTTCTGTAAAGCCAGAAGGATATATGATACCTCCTTCTGCTTTATGAGCACATAAAACAAAAAAAACCTAGTTTTGCTGAATATCTTATTTACTGAAGAGATTAACATTTACTCAACAAAGGCCACACTAAACCAGAAAAGTAAAACAATTCCAATTTCAGGTGATCCCATTTTTATGAATAACTTAATTGATTTGATATAGATTGTTTTAAAAATCTGTGAAATTAAAATTCAGCTAAACTCAACAAATATTTATTATGTACCTATATGTGTGCACTAAAGGAGAAATCATGAGTCCGTAATCCAGTATATCTACATATAAATGGATTCTAGTAATTTCCTATCAAATAGAATATAGCTATAATCATAAAAATTATGTTAATAATACATATATAGGCCAAGCGTGATGGCTCATGCCTGTAATCCTAGCACTTTGGGAGGCCAGGGTGGGCAGATCACTTGAGCTCAGGAGTTCAAGACCAGAATGGACAATATGGTGAGACACCGTTTCTACAAAAAATACAAAAATTAACTGGGCATGGTGACATGTGCCTGTAGTTCAAGCTACTTGGGAGACTGAGATGGGAGGATGGCTTGAGCCTGGGAGGTAGCAGCTACAGTGAGCTGTGATCTGTAGTTCTGTTGCCCATTGCATTCCAGCCTGGGCAACAGAACTACAACCTGTCTCAAAAATAATTTTAAAAAAATGTATATTAGAATACACTGATATGTAAGTAATGTTTAAGACATTTTGAGCACTTACATGCTGGACATTAAGCACTTTATGTGTGTTATCACTTTTAATTCTCACAACAACCTTTTTTTTTTTTTTTTGAGACAGAGTTTCACTCGTTACCCAGGCTGGAGTGCAATGGCGTGATCTCGGCTCACCGCAACCTCTGCCTCCTGGGTTCAGGCAATTCTCCTGCCTCAGCCTCCCGAGTAGCTGGGATTACAGGCACGCGCCACCATGCCCAGCTAATTTTTTGTATTTTTTAGTAGAGACGGGGTTTCACCATGTTGACCAGGATGGTCTCGATCTCTTGACCGCGTGATCCACCCACCTCAGCCTCCCAAAGTGCTGGGATTACAGGTGTGAGCCACTGCGCCCGGCCCCACAACAACCTTATAGATACATTTAAAAATCCCTTTGCTCACAGGTGAGGGAAGTGAGGCACAGAAATGCTGAATAATTTTACAGTTACGAATCCAGAGAACAGAGGAATAATGCACAACTGGAAAGCAAACATTAGGAAAACAGTTAAATAAGAATGGAAACACTGGGGGAACTGGTTTACACCTATAATCCCAGCACTTTGGAAGGCCAAGGTGGGAGGATCACTTGAGGCCAGAATCAAGACAAGCCTGGATAACATAGTGAGACCCCATCTCTAAAAATTTTTTAAAATATTAGCTGAATGTGGTACTGCACACCTGTAGTCTCAGCTACTCAGGAGGCTGAGGCAGAAGGATTACTTGAGCCCAGGATTTTAGGCTGTAGTGAGCTATGATTTTGCCACTGTACTCCAGCCTGCACAACAGAGCAAAACTCTGTCTGAAGAAAAAGATGGAGCATGGAAAGGAAAGTGACACTAACATAGTTTGAAAAAGGAACACCATTCCCCCAAGGTTCAGATGTGCTCTCCTCAACACTGGAGGCCATGTCCTAGCTAAGCGGCGTTAACCTACCATTTAATTTTAAAGGAAAAAGAACATACCTGAGGTGAGAGAAACTTTTCAATGCGTTTGGCTATAAAACCTTTCTCCAATATGGAGTTGACTGACGGTCTCCCCCTAGGATTTCTTTTAAATAACTGAGACACCAAACTGCGGAGATCATAGGAATAATGCAAAGACACAGGTGGAAAAGATCCAGATATTATCTTCAGAACCAGGTTTTTCATACTGCCAGCTTCAAACTAAAATCCAGAAAATAAATAACATAAATGAAACATAAATAAATTGAAACTGAGAATATCAACAATAAGAAATAGTTCTTTTCCTATCAATATAGAAGTACAATCCTCTTCCAAATTACTATGTTTTCTAGATCAAAGTTTACTTGGTTATCTATAAATGAATATCAGCCCTCAAAAAATAAAATGTTATAACTTGTCGTAAGAGTAAGTTTAACTTATTCAAAATATTTAGGTCAGGAGCGGTGGCTCACACCTATAATCCCCAGCACTTTAGGAGGCCGAGGCGGGCTGATCACAATGTCAGGAGTTCAAGACCAGTAGAAACCCTGTCTCTACTGAAAATACAAAAATCAGCCAGGCGCAGTAGCAGCCACCTGTAATCCCAGCTACTTGAGAGGCTGACGCAAGAGAATCACTTGAACCCTAGGGGTGGCAGCCGCAGCGAGCTGAGATCATGCCATTGCACTCCAGCCTGAGCAATAGAGTAAGACTCTGTCTCAAAAAATAAATAAATAAAATAAAAATTTAAAGATGGGAGGTAAGTACTAAATAAAAGTTTCATAAACGATGACAATAATCAAAATGTTGAAAGATTATGCCCTAGAGGTATAAAAATTAGGGCCAAAGAACCACAAACAGAAAAAGAACAACCTGCTGGTCTTCATTTAAGGCCTACTTTTTAGTGGCTCTGTTGTAATGACAGAACAAGAAATGACAGAACTAAAAGTACTGGGCAAAATATAATAAATAAAACTACCAATACTTTCCTTTTAGACAATGCTCACTGTTCTGTGTGTGTGATGCTCCTAAAAGCTATGGAAATCAGCAATATAGAAAATATTTTAATAGGAATATATATGTCAGAATTAAACACACAATATAAACTCTAAAGTGAAAAGAAAACAAGAGGTGGGGTAGTTCAAAATCTGAAGACTTCATTTTGAAAGAGATTATTATTAAGCCTTTGACATCTCCACTAAAATATTACAGAACAATTATACAATGTTGATATCATTGTATAATTAAGAAACACATTAAGAAAATAAAATATACTATAAATTAGACATCAGTGATTATAGAAGTTCTATTAAATGTTGAGCTCTCCTAAATGACATTTGAGTAAATTCAATCTTAAGGAAATATCTATACACCTAAATAGGAATCCTAAATGCATAAAAGATGTGGTTCTCTATTCCAATGCACTTTTATCTCTGAAATGACATGCTCTTCATAAAGGGTAAGTTACTGAATTTCACGTATCTTAAAACACATGCTATTTAAGAGTAAACAATTCTAAAATACAGAAGAGATGGTGACAGAATAATGTGGATGAAAGATTTTTTTTAAAAACCCACAAACCACTGGTTTAAAGCTAAAATAACAATGTCGCAGAAAAACTGATCAATTATTTCAAATAAGCATCTGATAATCACCATCCCACATTACTTTGTCACCTTATGCTTTTCTCCTTAAGAAAGAAAAAAAACCCTAAGGCAATATAGTAAGGGAGTATGCAACCATTAAAAAGAATGACAAGGAAAAATATTCTGCAAATAGTATTAAGCAATAAAAACAGGCTATAAAACTTCTTATAAAGTCTCATCAAACTTTTGGGGGAGAAAAAATAAATTTCATTTTACAGACAGTCAATACTGGTGGGAAGAACTGCTTATCATCCTTATTCACTTCTTTATATTTTCATGTACTTTCTGAAGTTTTGTGTAATGAAAATACAATATTGGTTAATCAGTGGGTAAAACATGTTAATCACTTTCCATTTCAAAAAACTGCTTTTTTTAAGAATCAAACTACTTAGGACAAGAACTCTCCTTTTTTAGTGTGTTGTACGTTATTTAAAAAAAGTCTCAAATGTAAAAATTTTAAATACTCTGAATGATTACTTAAATTGATAAAAGTCATCAATGAGTATATTGAATGAAATTCTTTAAATTAGTTCAATTCCAAATTCAAATAATCTGGGTATTGTGAGAGAATTCACTAAAATGAAACTAGTAAAGTTTGTTAAGCTAAAATATCAAATTCATACTAAATTTAACACTAAGAAAAAAGCAAAATTTATTTCTGACATTAGAAATTATTTTCTGGAAAACTGCATGAAACATTATATAATAGCAAATATACTAGATATGCAAATATATTAAGGGAAATCAATATATACTTCAGAATAAAATGAGAAATTTAAAAATGGACTTAGAGAATTTCTAGGATGACGGCTATCTAAAAGATGGTAGAACTTTAAATATAATAAAAAACATTATAGTCACTTTTTAACATAACTTTAAAAATATTTCAGAAACTTCTACTTACAGCATGTTTAAGTGTACACAGCTCATAAAGGACACACCCCAGAGCCCAAATGTCACTAGAGAAGATAAAAATGAGAAATTTTCTCTAAGTATCAGAATGTACTTTAAATTTTTTTCATTTAAAGGAAACATAAACAGCATAAAAATGTTTTGGAAAAATAAGCGCTTCAGAAAAAATTTCCTTTAAAACTAAAAATTTCAACCATAATCAAATGACAAAAGTAGCTGTCCCAAATCAGAAAATGGTTGCCCCAACAATTACTTTGAAGCTCCATTAAAGAAATTTAATATTTAAAAGAACAATATTTTAAAAATTCATGTAAATTCCATTTAGTTATTTTATTTCATAAAACTCAAACTGTTTATCAATTATTTGTAAAATACCATAATTTTAAAAATTATGAAACAAAATATTATTTTAATAGACATTAAAAATTTATTAAGAAATTTGCAAAGCTACTGACCAACATGACTTTGGTTGGAATTTTCCAACTAGAGAGGAAAAATAAAAGGTAGCTGGAATTTAATGACAGGATTGCTCTTGTCACCCACATAGTATATAGTCTGTTAGCCAGACTATAGAGCTGTGATTAGAAATAGGGGCTTGGGAGCCAGATGCCTAGTTTAGATGCTGATTCCACCACTTATTAGACTCAAGGATTTCAAAGAAATTACTTTACCCCTCTCTGCATTTGTTTTCCTTATAAAAGGAGGAGGAATGATTAATACCTACATCTCCCAAAATTACTGTGAAGACTAACAGAATACATAGAACTCAAAACAGTACCTGGCTTATAGTGTGTTCAAGAAATATTAGCAATAATTCAATAGGAAGTGATTATCATGAAGAAAAAAAAACAAGGAAAGCACTCTATTTTCAATTATAACATAAATAATAAAGTGATTCTGTAGTTCCTCCAATAAGATAACCAAACACCTTCTTTACAATCCCCCTCATCATATATTAACAAAATATTTTTATATATACATATATGTTTACATGTGTGTATTGTTGACTTTAGAATAGTACTCTAAAGGTTAATAAACATGACATAACAAAAAGATTGAAAAGAAATACATCAGATAATGAATATCATTTTAAATACCTTTTATTGTTGTAAGGTTTGTTTTCACAGATTTCAGGTGACAAGTAGTATGGGGTCCCTATGCAAGTTCGAGCCAGCTCTACAGTACTAGAGAAAAAGAAAATTACTGGAGAAGCTTAACACACAGTCACGTGCTACATTAATGCTGTTTTTGGTCTATAACAGATCGCATATATGATGCTGGTCCCATAAGATTATAATGAAGCTGAGAAATTCCTAACACCTAGTGACATGGTGATTGTCATATACCACAGAGCAATTACTTTATTCAATAAATTTAGTGTAGCCTAATGTACAGTGTTTATAAACTCTACATTAGCACACAGAAATGTGCTAAGTCTTCAAATTCACTCACTACTCACTTACTCACAGAAAGCAACTTCCAGTCCAGTAAGCTCCATTTATGGTAAGTGTCCCATAAAGATATATCATCTTTTATCTTTTATATTTTATCTTTTCTGTGTTTAGACATGTTTAGATAAATATTTATCATCATGTTACAATTTCTTACAGTGTTAAGAACAGAACATGCTGTACAGGTTTGAAGCCTAGAATGAACATGCTACAACATACAGCTTGCCTGTGTAGTATGCTACATCATCTAGGATGGTATATGTCCACTCCGTAACTTTCACACACTGATGCAATCACCTACTGATGCCTTTCTCAGAACATATCCCAATAAAGCAGCATCCCAGTAAAGAATGTACTTAAAAATAATATAAATTATCACATATACATCACCATGGATTGAAGTTTCACTGGAAACACTGTATCAAAACAAAGCTGAAAATTCATGTTACCTATTAAGAACTCTAGCAATTCCAAAATCTCCAAGTTGTACAGTTCCATCTTTAGTTAAAAATATGTTCTGTAAAAGACAGGAAAAAAAAAACCCTAGGAATATTGTTACAGTCCAGTTCTGAGTCTACAACATTTTTCATAAAATTCATAATCCAGTTAAAAAATTGTGCTGGAGTAACTGGATATTCACATACAAAAGAATAAATGAAGTCCCTTACTGCAAATCATATACAAAAATTAATTCAAAATGAAGTCTAGATCTAAATATAAAAACTAAAATATAAAACTCCTAGAGAAAAACACAGGAATAAATCTTCATGCTGTTGGGCTAGGGAACGATTTCTTCGATATGATATCCAAAGCACAAGCAAAAAAGTTAAAAAAGATAAACTGAACTATCAAAATTTAAAAATTTTGTGCATCAAAGGACAGCATCAAGAAAACAGATGAACATTTTTAGAAATCATATATTTGAGAAAAAACTTCTATCTGGAAAAGGACTTGCATAATTCAACAATGACAACAAAAGACAAATAGTCTGATTTAGAAATAGGCAAAGGTGATGGGCACAGTGGCTCATACCTATAATCCCAGCACATCTGGAGGCTGAGGCAGGCAGATGACTTGAGGTTGGGAATTCACGACCAGCCTGGCCAACATGGTGAGAACCCATCTCTACTAAAAATATAAAAATTTGCAGCCAGGCGCGGTGGCTCAAGCCTGTAATCCCAGCACTTTGGGAGGCCGAGGTGGGTGGATCATGAGGTCAAGAGATCGAGACCATCCTGGTCAACATGGTGAAACCCCGTCTCTACTAAAAATACAAAAAATTAGCTGGGCATGGTGGCGCGTGCCTGTAATCCCAGCTACTCAGGAGGCTGAGGCAGGAGAATTGCCTGAACCCAGGAGGCGGAGGTTGCGGTGAGCCGAGATCATGCCATTGTACTACAGCCTGAGTAACAAGAGCAAAACACCGTCTCAAAAAAAAAAGTTTGCCAGGCATGGTGGCAGGCACCTGTAATCCCAACTATTCGGGAGGCTGAGGCAGGAGAATCACTTGAACCTGGAAGGCAAAGGTGGTTGCAGTAAGCCTGAAATTGCATTACTGCACTCCAGCCTGGTCAGAAGTGTGAGACTCTGTCTCAAAAACAATAAATAAATAAATAGGCAAAAGGCACATACTTCATACTTTATAATATCCATTTATATAAAATGTCCACAATAATCAAATCCATAGAGAGAGAAAGTAGATTAAGGGTTACCAGAGTCTAGGTGGAGAGGAATGGTAACTCACTGCTCCTGGGTATAGGGTTCTTGTTGGAGTGATAAAAAATGTTCTGTAAGTTTTAGAGACTGGGAAGGAAAGTAATTTTTAGAGTGTGGGAAGCAAACAGGAGATCTAATACAGGACGCAGATGAATAGCATAAGAATTAAGAGACAATACACATAATCTGATACGCTCTAAATCAGGTTGAAAAATTTCGACCCAAGACAATGAAGGTTTCAGGCCTTTATCCATTCAGAAGTTATTAGTGACAGAATAACATACCTGTGATTTTATGTCTCGATGAAGAATTTTTCTATCATGTACATGTTTCAGGGCTAAACATATCTGTACAAACCAGTCCAAAATCTAGAAGAAAAATCAGATCTGTCATTTCTTTTAAAATTTACAATTCACAGTAGCCTTTCCTTGACTATTAAAAGAAATCAAGAATATTTAGGGATGAGAGGAACTAAATCTTAAAAAAAATAGGCAGCCACGTGTGGCGGTGGCTCACACTTGTAATCCCAGCACTTTGGGAGGCTGAGGCAGGTGGATCACGAGGTCAGGAGATCCAGACCATCCTGGCCAACATGGTAAAACCTCAGATCTACTAAAAATGCAAAAATTAGCCAGGTTTGGTGGTGGGCATCTGTAGTCCCAGTTACTCAGGAGGCTGAGGCAGGAGAATTGCTTGAACCAGGGAGGCAGAGGTTGCAGTGAGCTGTGATGGTGCCACCGCACTCCAGCCTGGCGACAGAGCAAGACTCCGTCTCAAAAAAAAAAAAAAATAGGCTATAATTTCTTTCAACTTTGTAGGCACTGACATTAATCAGATTCTCAAGTCAACATAAGTTCTGCACATACTAAATTTAAAATGTAAGAGATGCTACTGAGTCATCTCTTCTAAATCAAAATGAATGTGGAAAGTATAACTAAAAATGGAAATAATTATATTTTAAAATAGTAAGAGGGGATTCTTCTTTGCTTTTAATACGTCGTTTAATGGAAATTATATTTTATAATAGTAAGACAAGTGTTTCTTCTGTGTTTTTAATACATCTTTTTTCTATAATGCCCCTCCTCCCCTTTTTTTGGAATAGGGTCTTGCTCTATCGCCCCGGCTGGAGTGCAGTCATGTTATCATAGCTCACTTCAGCCTCAAACTCCTGGGTTTAAATCATCCTCCAGCCTCAGCCTCCCAAGTGGCTAGGACTATGGTGTATGCCACCATGGGTGGCTAATTATTTCTTTATTTGTTTATTCTATAGAGACAGGGTCTCGCTATGTTGCCCAGGCTAGTGGTCTTGAATGCCTGGTTCTGAACTCCTGGCCTCTGGAGTTCCTGAGGATTCAAGTATTCCTCCTACCTTGGCCTCCCAACGTACTGGGATTACAGGTATAAGCCACTGCATCTGACCTGTATAATGCTTTTTAAAAATCTAAATAAAAATCATAAGAGGAGAAAAAGCTGGAAATTTGGAAGACATCTCTAATTTTTTCTCTTCCCACATTAATTACATAGAAACACTCTTCTCTGGAGATGGCCACTTGGATATAAAAAGGCTTAGTTTCTATCTCATTCTTAACATCAAAATAATTCCAAGTACACGGCATTTTTAAACTAAAAAAATCCACAAAATAAAACATAGGTTAAATATCTGTAACAACTGACTGAAGCAGGACTTTCAAAACATAACATAAAATGCTTAAGTCATAAGAAAAAGACTGATAAAATTGATTACATACAATTTAAAACATCTGCATGGCAAAATACATAATCAAGTTTAATAATAATTTGGGAAAATATATGCGACATAAATGATAGATTGCTAGTTCTCTAAAATGCAAAAGTTATTCAAATCACTGAGAAAAGTACTGGCAGACAAAATTAGAAGAGGACAAAAGACGGGAAAGGCAAATGATGGAGGGAAAAAAGGGCCGAAAAACACATATACAAAGTACTAAACTCCCTCCCGAATTAAAAAAAAAAAATAAGATACCATATTATCTTGCTTAAAATGAAATATAACATACTGTTGGTCAGAAAGTGGGGAAATAAGCCTTTTTCTCACAGATGTTTGTAAAAAAAGTTAATTATAATCATTTGTCAAAAGATGTCAAAATTTTAAATTCACATACCATTTGGAACAGCAATTTCAATCTCAAATTTATCCTACCCATATAGCAACAGAAACATAAAACAATGTATATAAGATGTTTACTCTAGCACTGTTAGCCAGAACCCTAAAATATAAACAACCAGAATGTCTAACAAGAGGCCTGATTAAATATATTGTATTATCATTATACTAAAAATACTATGCAGCCACTGACAAGAATGAATCGCTTCTATGTATACTGTTTATGTACTAATAAGTGAAAAAAGGAAGTTCTAAAACAGTATGAATAGTATACCCTATTTAAAAAAAATGCTTATATTCCATACCTGAACTCTATGTAAGTGTGTGTGAACTTGAAGGAAGGAAGTATAGAAGGATAGCTACCAATCAGTTAACAGCATTTATTCAGGGAAGTGGATTTGCAGAAGAGGCAATGAAAGGTAACATGTTTCCTTTGTACTCTATCTCTTCAGTATTTTTTAAAACAATTTTCTTTCTTTTTTTTTTAAAAAAAAAAAACTCTTTCAGTTCTAGAGATATTTAATGAGGATCACATAAATTATTAAGCTCCTTTCTATAGTCATGTAAGGCATTTTATGTATACAGATCAAATACAGTTCTCTAAGGTAAGTCTGTACAGTGGTAGGAATATACTCACAAATACCTATAATAATTGCGCAAGTTTTTAAACAGATATACACAATAAGACAGCAATTAATCCAACCAGGGAGAGGTTAGGAAGAAGAATGTGAAAATTAAATTATTACTGTAATTTAAGGTAAAATGGAGTTTACCAGTAGAAACAGAGCACATCTTAGAAATCACTCATGTCTCATTTCACAGATAGTGTTCTGTTACCATAATTCCCGAACCTGTACTTCTTTATTTTACAAAAATTTATTCAGTACCAACAATGTACTAGATATGTGCAGGAACTAGCCAAGAGAGTTCATGAAAGAGCTCAGAGACCAGGCATCTGCACATTTATTCTGTAAATGGCCAGATAGCAAGTATTTTAGGCTTTGCAGGCAATGTGGCTTCTGTCTCAACTCAATTCTTCCACTATAGCACAAAAGCAACCATAGATTATATGCAAACAATTAAGTTTAGCTGTGTCGTAATAAAACTTTATTTACAGAGATAGAAGGCCAAATTTGGTTCACAGGCTATTGTTTATTGATCCATAGCAAAAACCATTGAGGGAGATGGGAAAGTAAACCAGTAATTAAAGGAGGTAATGCCCTGAGTGTTGAAGAAGCATGGAGAAGGACAGTCAACTCAGCCTAGAGGTGATAAAATTAAGCTGAACAGAAGAGGTGATTCCTGAGCTCAGTTTTGACGGAATATATAAGCAAAGCAGAGAAGGAAGGCACAGCTTGTAAAACATAAGCATAAATGTTACATTTCCATTCTCCTTGTCTAGTTCAAACTGTGGCTACATTAGGGTTTGACTACTGGGGTAGGAGTAGGAGGAGCCGGAAGCCCTTTAAAACTGTAACCCTGCTTCTAATCTGTGCTTATTTCATTGTACACATTAGTTCCATATTAATATTTACAAAATACTGTTTTGAAAATGGCATTCTCTTTCTCAGAAGACTTTTAAATTCAAACGTTATGTTGTATTATATCAAGTACTGTATATAATTATCATATAGTTGTCTGAATTACAGTTGTATGTTATTTTGCATTAGTACGGACTGCCTCATAGTACCAAAACGGTACTACGATCCATCTTCTCTGCTCTAAAAGTGAGATTTCTATGTGTAATAAAATGTATTAGAATTTTCCCAAATATACTCAGTTTTGATGGGCTTGTTCATTACTTTTCTAAAGGCATGAGAAAGTTTTATTGCCAAGTATTATATCAATTAAAAAATTTGAACTTGGTTTCTCTATCAGAATGGTAAACTGATCTTGGAGCTCCTAACTAGAGGCATGCTTACCATTTACTGTCTGTGTGACTTGCTCCAAGAGTAGATATTTCGGGTCTACCAGAATAATTTTCTCTGCTTTATACTGATTTTATCACTTGATGTTTTTTGAACAAAGGTTCCTCACTATGAAGATGCTTATAAGTGTATTTCCTTCATCTATATCTTAAGATATTTTGCCACTTTGATTAAATAAGTAACCAAAGAATGTTACTTATTTGTAAGAAAAAAATAAAAATTTCAGGATACTTCTCATTGTAACTATTAGCTCAACACTGTCATAAGACCTGCCTGGGAAGACGTGCCAAATTTAAAAAGATGCTCAGTCTTTCCTAGGATAAGTCTGCATAGGTAAAATGCTGTATTTCATAAAATGCATGCTTTATGAGAATGCCCCGGAGATTTGTCCATAACTTTGCTCTCCATTTTCATCCTCAATAAAACCATTTATCAAGCCCTCATCAAATCTATGTACTCTAATAGAAAATTTTATTCTATTATTGGTTACTATAATAAACTAACCACAGCCTTTCAGTCTCATTATCAAATAGGCCTTTCCTGCCTGATGCTTGCCAGGAAGCCCTGAAAAGGACCATATCAGGAATGCTGAACTACTGGTACTTCAGAAAATAGACTCCTGGGTACAAGTTTCTGACCTAACATTGCTTAGATGATCAAGGAACTTATCAATGAACTGAGTCAGAATTTCTATAAGACTTTTATAGTCCATCAGCTGACAAACATCATGAAAGCTAACTGCTTGACCTAAGGTCAAGAATAAGAATTACTAGGAATGAATAAACTGAATTAAATGAGATTGAATTGTGGTTATTTGTTTGGAATATGATTGGTATTATCTTTAGTGTTCAAAATTTAATGAATAGATGAGGAATCCCTTTTTTTCTTAAGCTGCAGCTAATTCTCAATTTAGATTATACTTTTATAAACTTAAAATATTTGATTTTAATCTCAGAATTCAGAAGCAAATCGTTTTAAGTATTTTCACTTTTCATGACACTATTGTAATTTTCATGGGTTCAGTAAGAATCTATACTCCTTTTTAGCAGAATGTAATTGGACAAATCAATTGTGCAACCAAGGCCATACCTGAAGTGTCATATTTGAGATAATTTTCATGTAATCAGTAATGATAAATCCACTACTAAAAAATATGTGTGGAACCAGTACTTGCATAGTACTGCCAGGAAACTGTCCTGTTATCTGACTTACAGGGTCCCTGTGTCATAAGTGGTAAAGACACTTCCTAGCAACTAGGGACCCTGACATATTTGGAGACTCTCAAAAAGAAAAAAAATTCACCCCAATTTATAGGCAGTACAGGTGAAATTTGGTAGAGAATATACTGGGCTGAGTTTCCTTACGTTGGACTAAAAGAACAAACAACAAAGTTTTTAAAAATCCAATCCAAGATTCCTTACAAAAACTTACAGACAGAAATCAATTCTGTAACCTTAGAAGTTGTTTGATCACATAAGGCTCTAGGTTTTCAGTGCAAACTCAAGTTCTTTGCTTAATTAACACTCTTGTTGCACCTAAATATTTGGACCAACCCTAATGAGTCCAGATTTTATTTTGATCAAGAACATATTCTGAAAATCAAAGAAACTCATTCAAAACTTGCAAATAAGGCAAAAATACTGGTACACCTTTAAAATATCTATCTAGAGACTGCCTAAGGGAATATACTTAGTTCATCTCATTATTCTCTTAACCTAACTAGGTATTTGTCCAGTAAAGATGCAAACAAGGAAGTATCACTGAAGAGAATGGCTTGAGTAGCTGGAGAATTATCTGTTTCACAGGTCTTCCTGTTCCCCACTTACGTGCTAGAAATGTACAAAATCCTCTCAAACGAATGCTAAGCTACAGTCTAATGGAGCGCTAAGTTTTCCTGTTTCAAAGCCCAGAATGTAGTTTAAACGACCTCTTCCTATTTTTAGGAGGCTAAAATAAACAGCATCCTTATTTGCGCTAATGAAACTTGCTATTCAGAAGGGTAGAAAAAAATGCTATTAACTTAAAAGAACGGCTTGCCAAATATTTGTCATTTATGATGAATAACTTCACTGACAGATGAAGGACACAGATCTCCATAATAATTTCCAGGAAGACAAGATACAAGCATGTACGTACACATACACATACATACACACACACACACACACACACACACACACACCATTATGTACTAAAAGTATGTATCAAAAAGTAGTAGAATCAAATCTACAGAATATCAATGTGCTTTATAGTGGAATATCATTTAATAGTAAACATTTTAAAGTTTGATAGGGATAAATGAATGAAAATAAGCACAATGAATGAAAATAAGCGCAATGAAATATATCTGACAATGTTCTAATAAAAATAGCACTGTGCATACTAACATACATTACTATTTGATCTTTACAACATGTATAGTAGGTATCTCCCTATTAACAAATGAGGAAATAATCTCAGACCTTGTTAACAGAACAATTACCAAGTTGATAAGCAGAGCAAGGACTCAAACCCATGTCTGCCTGTACCTGGCCAGAAATGGCACAGTGGCTCATACCTATAATCCCAGGACTTTGAGAGGCCAAGGAAGGAAGATTGCTTGAAGCCAGGAGTTTGAGAACAGCCTCGGCAACATAGCAAGACCTCATCTCTACAAAATAATAATAATAAATTAAAAAAGAAATTAGCTGGGCTACTCAGGAGGGTGAGGTAGTAGAATTGCTTGTGCTCAGGGGCACAAGGCAGCAATGAGCTGTGATGGTGCCACTGCACTCCAGCTCAGGTGACAGAGCAAGAGCCTATCTTAAAAATAGTAATAATATTCCATTTCTGAATGTGTGTGTCTTAATGTTCATATATATGTACATGTATAAGCACGGAAAAGAAAGCCTGGAAGAATACACCAAACTAACAACAGTGGTAATCTTAGGAACAAAAGTGTGGAGAAAGCCTTTCCATTTCTGTATACTTCAATACTTTTATAATTTAAATGTGTGAAAATAAAATGTTAGAAACTTTAGAGTTAGAGGTGGGTTCAAACAGTACGTGATTTGGGGCAAGTCACATAACTTGTCTTGGATTCCTTATAAATTGAAAAAATGTATCCAAATTAGAAGAGATAACAAATACAACACTCCCAGCACAGTGCTCCCTCTACTCCCCTAGGTATACAGATGTAAAAGCAGACATGTATATATGTATGTAATATACATCTATATTGTATTTTACATCTATATTATGTATATAATATACATCTATATACATATTTTACAAGCAGGCATGTAAAATATGTATATAGATGTAAAAGCAGGCAATAAAGAACTGATGATAATGAGAAATGTGATAGGCATGTAGAGAAGGAAACAGATTAGAGTAGTTATGAAAAATTTAAAGAAGCTGGGACCTGAACTGAGCTTTAAAAAAAAGGTAGAGTATTAATAAGAGAAAGTCTGAGGAAAAGGCTTGCCAAAATAAACGCAACAATCAAAGTAAATATACAGGAAGGAGAATGAAATGTACAAGCATGTGGCCCAGTGCCTAACACAAAGTACATACTCAATAAATATCTGTTAAAGTGAATGAAAAGAGGTACAGATTAGGAAACAGAAAAAAATAAGGCTGCTTAGGTAGGGTAGGGCCGTATTTTAGAGATCTGACAAATCAAAAGAGAGATTAGATTTCATGCAGTTGCCAATGCAAGGCTTCTAGAGCTGGAGTTGCCTGGCAAAGCCATGTTTTAGGAATATATAGTCTGGCAGCAGTAAGCCAGATTGACATGATCTAGATTAACCAGTTATAATGAATAATTAAGGCATATAGACACATGTTATATGTAACATAATCACACAGATAACAATAACCCATTACAGTCTGCAAATTAGATGGGCAACTGAACAAAGGTGGCAGCTAATTAGAGGGAAAAATGATTAAAATATTGATATACCACCAAACTGCCCTAGTAATTACAGTTAGCATTTACAGTTAAAACAAATACACACACAAAAAGAGTCAATTTCCCACATGCAAACTTACCTGATCCTCTTGAAATAAAACACCTTTCTGAGCATTTATTCGCTTAAACAGATCCCCTCCCTCACAGTAATCCATCACTATGTAGAGAGAGCCATTTTCTACAAAATATAAACATTACAGTCCACTTTTAAAAACATACATCAGAAGCATGGCTAAATTAAAGGTACTTTAAGGCTTACTAAAAAGCAACTGCTAAACAAAAAACAGGACCACACTCAAAGAATTAGGGCACAAAGTTAAGGTATACCAGTCACACAGATTGTATAATGACTTGGGTTAACAGAAAACTCCATCATTAATGATTTCTACTAAAAATACACCATCTTATTAAATAGCACTATTTACATTGACCTAAATATCTCCGAAATATAAACAAAATGCAGATAAATACTATATTTCATTCAGTAAATACCATTCCTTAAATGTCACATATAAAAGAGATGGGTTTAGTTTTCCAACTGGCCATTAATTCTTGGCTTTGTTTTATCCACTTCAGTCAATTACTTATTAAACAAATACAATAAACGTTGTGATAAACTCTAAGGATTCAGCAGTGTATAGGACATAATAGGACACAGTTTCCACCTTCTGAAACCTTTCTTTGATCTTACGCTCTTTTTAAAAAACCGTATATGATTGGTGAACAAACATGAAGATGGGAACTGTCCCATCCACCTTTATGTCTTGGTTCACAGAGAATGGGACTTCTATGCCTCTTCTTATGGATAAAAAGGACTAGAAGAACACTTCTTTTTTAAATTTAGGCCTTTTTCTTTTTAAGAAAAAGGGTCTCACTATTTTGCCCATGCTGACTTTGAGCCCCTGGGCTCAGGTGAACCTCTCACCTCAGCGTCCCCAGCAGCTGACACTACAGGCCCATGCTACTGTATACAGCTTAGAAAAACACTTTAATTATTCTTTCCATCCTTTACTTCTCAGGTAAGGAAGAGTGGCCAATATAACTTTTAACATTTTCTGAATCACTACATAGTACTGAGACTATCACAACTCAAAGAACGGTTTTCCTAGTTCTCACTTATTTTACTGTCTGTGCTATGGTCTTAATTACAATAGTGTTTTTTTTTTCTTTTGAGACAGTGTCCAGGCTAGTGTGCCATGGCACGATCATAGCTCACTGTAGCCTCAAACTACCGGGCTCAAGTGATTCTCCCACCTTAGCCTTTCAAGCAGCTGGAATCACAGGCATACACCACCACATCTGGCTAATTTTAAAATTTTTTTGTAGAGATGGGGTCTCCCTATGTTTCCCAGGCTGGTCTCAAATTCCTGGGCTCAAGAGATTCTCTGACCTCAGCCTCCCAAAGCTGTTGAAATTACACTTGTAAGCGACCTTGCCCACCCTCCAGGAGTATTTATTTCTTATACTTCGTATTGACATTCTTGTCACTCAGGGTGCACATATCTTCTTTTGATCTGCTTGTAATGTGCCATTGGGATAAGAATCTATGATAAGCTAATTAAGAATCTATGACTTTTTATGATTGACCTGGAAAGATCATCCAAATATACATGTGAGAAATTATAATGGGAAAAAAACTCCTGAAATCTGTATAATTCACTATTTATAAAATAGGCATATGGATGTTATAATGTATGTAGCATAATAAAAAGCAAAAAATTACATAGAGTATGCTATCATTTATGTTTGTCATAAGCATGTATTCTTTTAAAACTCAGAGAAATAATAAAGCCTTATTTTTAAAATATGCCACCCCCTTTGAATCATACAGATGTTTCTATGTGAAGCCATCAATATAAATTCAAAACATCTGCTGGAACATTTGCTCAAAACCTTTTAACTTGAAATATTAAAATTTTGTTAACAACAACAACAACAACAAAAAAGAAACTAAAAGATAGATGCCAGGAGAAAATAAAGGAAAATTCAAGATCCTGAAAAGGAAGAATTGGTTAATAGTGTATTCTTTCACATGAAATATAAATCTTCATTTCACTGCCAGCATAAAAAAACAGAGCGCCTTATGACATAATATATTCACTGAATCACCTTTTTATAAAAGTACAACATACTTTTATTAAAGATACTGAGTTCATCTGGGAATATACGTTAGCTCTAATTCAGACTCTGAAACTGGTATGTGATATGTCCCTGAGTCATTTCACTTATCTTCTGCTTTCAATCTAGATTATCTTTCTGTTATTTAGTTTACAGAAATTTATAGTAATGATGAAAATATTTGGGTAGGACTTCAATAAGCCACTTTGACTTGCCTTTAGAGATGCTTTGTCTTCATACCTACATTTATTAAATATAATGCACATAGTTCCAAAACAGCATTATAGCCATAATACTTTAAGAACCTGAGAAAACTTTCCATATACCTTAATATTATAATAGTGAAGTATAGAGGAGCATACTGAGTAGGATACTTTCTAAAGATCAGAACATTTTCTTGGTGGTAGCGATGGCAGCACTTACTGGAAGTTCAGTTTTAAAATATGTAAATTACTGTTCTTGCCCTGTCCAAATTCTTGCACTTCACTTACTACATTGCTTCTTTTAAAGCAATCACAGTAACAGCCAGTATTAAATTATACGGCTAAGGCACAAGAATCACTTGAACATGGGAGGTAGAGGTTGTGGTAAGCTGAGATCATGCGCCTGCACTCCAGCCTGGGCCACAGAGCAAGACTCTGCCTCAAAACAAAACAAACAAACAAACAAAAATATGCAGACACAATATATCAGTACTGCCCTTGAATCAATCTGATATTCATATGCATATATTTTTAAGCAAAAATGCTATCTTTTTCCTAAGAATGCATTCAAAAAAGATTTATTAATGTCTTAGGGTTTTTTAACTCTCTCACAAAATTTATCTGACCTTCAAATGATTCTCTATATTGGACAATATTTGGATGCTTCATATTTGCCAATACTGCAACTTCTCTCCTTGATTCTTCTCTTTCTTTACTGGACATCTTAAATGAGAGGAAAAAAGAAAATAGTAAATTAAACTACTATTAAACAACTTAAAATTCCATCAATACAGGAGTAGTTAAAACATACTGGTATTAATACAGTTCAATCAACAAAACATAGCAAGAAGTTAAAAGGAATGAGTTGAATCTGTAAGTTCAAACATTTAAAGATGTCTAAACTAAATTAAGCTACGAAACAGCAAGTATATATTTCTAAACATATAAGCATAAGCACATATCATAGAAAAAAACCTAAAAGAACATATATAAAGTATTCTGATATTAGCAGGCATAAAGCAGTCTTTTGGTTTAGGTTACAGATTACCCTTTCTTTTTTTAAAAAGAAAAACTCTAACAATGAGCTCTATTGTAACCAAACTATTACTCATGAAACCAAACTAAAAATATACTTACTCTTGAGATGTTAATTTCCTTGATAACATACTGTCGGCCATCTTCTGTAGATTTAACAAGAATGGCTTTTCCAAATGAACCTTCTCCAATCTTCTGTAGTCTCACATACTTCTCCATGACTCTTTTTCTAAGGCATCTTTATACGCTAGACATTTAAAAACTAACAAAAAAGATAAAGCATTTACAACATGAGAGATAAAACATTATAACAATTTTAACGTTTAATTCAAATTCTAATTCTTTAGTGATTTGCTAACATTTAACAAAGGGATATTTAATATATTTACTAAAAGTTACACTTTATATACTTTACTAGTAGAACCTAATTATACCTAAAAAGAGAAAAAAAAAAGGTGATATTTCAATTTTGTAAGAATACTTTGGAAAGCCAAATACTGCATATATTTAACATGTATATAGAGAAAGGCAAGCTTTTTCTTACATGAATTAATTAGTAGTGTTACCTTATTTTCTCCAAAGAGAATGAAACCCAAATTTACACTACTTCCTGAAGTTATTTAACTAATCCCCTCTTATTCAACATTCATTTAAAATGTTTGCTGTTATATAACAATTTCAGATAGTTTTTGTGTACATATTTTAATGTGCTTATTGTAAGCATTTCCTTGGGATAAATTCTGAATTCAACAAATATGCCCATGTGACAGTATGGCTTTCAAACATATTAAATGTCTTCAACAGAAATGTCTACTAATATATATTTAACCAGTAGTGCCTGCTACTAGATAACCTTATTAACACTGGTTCTTATTATTTTTTATATTCAGGGAGATGTTTACTGTAATGTTATTTATAAAAACAAAATACTGTTTTTTATTAAAATATTTAAGAAGCAATAAAGGGTAGTAAAGGACACTAAAACTTTAGAGTCGGAAAGCTTAGGTTTAAATCTTAGCTTTATCACTTACTTGTTATGTAACCTTAGCCAAGTTACTTATCTCTATGTGCTCAGTTTGGTTGTATGTAAAATGTGAATAACGATAGTACACATTTACGGAATTGTTGGAAGAATTAGTTAATGTAAGTAATGTACTGAAAACAGTGCTTGGCACATATGAGCACTGTGTCACTATTTGTATTGTTGTTACTCCTTACGTCTAATGCAGAAAATGGTGTTTCATTTTTAATGTCTTTTGCTTACCACTGAATTTGAGAAATTCTTCCACATTTATTGAACTTTCTTTTTTTGAGATAGAGTATCACTCTGTCACCCAGGCTGGAGTACAGTGGTGCGATCTCGGCTCACTGCAACCTCCTCCTCCCACATTCTAGTGATTGATTCTCCTGCCTCAGCCTCCCAAGTGGCTAGGATTAAAGGTGTGCACCACCACGCCCGGCTAATTTTTATATTTTTAGTAGAGACAGTGTTTTGCCATGTTGTCCAGGCTGGTCTTGAACTCCTGAACTCAATCTGCCCGCCTTGGCCTCCCAAAACACTGGGATTACAGGTGTGAGACACCATGCCCTGCCACATTTATTGAACATTTCTCTCCCTTCTCTTTTTAACTATTCATCCATGTTCTTTATTCATTTTCTACTGCGTTAGTCTTTAATTTGTAAAAACTCCTTATGTAATGAAGCCCTTATCGGTCATAAATAATTTTTCCCTTATATCCTGATTGCCTGTATTTAAACATAAGGTTTTATTTTGATATAAACAAGTTTATTAATTTTTTCCTTATATTTCTATTTTTAGTATCATACTTAAACCCTTATCATACCAAGAAAATGAAGGTCATCACTAGCTTTAGCAATAGTAATTTCAAAAAAGTGGTAGTTTCAGAACCCAGAATACAATAAGCTAGTTAGGGAAAGCTAAAATAAGTGAAAGAGAGGAGTCATAAGAGCAATAATGTGTACCACCTACTGGCAACATCACCCTTTTTTGTAGACATTCATGAATTTACTATGCGAATCTAAAACTGATAAACATTTAATTCACCTAGCTTGCTCTGTTCTATTTCCATTCATAGAAGGTAGGCTTCCAATGGGTGATTCCTTTCTAGGAGAAAATAAGCTTGTTGGGAAACACTTTTTAAATTTCTGTGGCAGTTTACCACAAATAAATCCATGTTCTCATCTCATCCATCTCATGCTAAATTTGTTTTTAACTTTATTGTACCTCTAAAAAAATGATACAATCTCCTTAGATGACAAACTTCACATTCTGGGCCTGTAAGACTACACCACGGGCCAGAACTCAGCCTGTGGTAGCAATGATGAGATAATTATGCTGCATGAAACTTTGTGAGAAAGAACCTTTTTCTACTTTAGAAAACAAGAATGCTTTTAGCAATTTTAAAAGAAACAAGAAATAAACCACTATTATAGCATTTTAGCATCAGTGAGTTAAAGAAGAAAAATTGTTCCAAATATATTTTCAAGTCCAAGTTGTGTTAACTGGTACAACATAACAGTTATCTGGATAATGGCCACAATGTAATGATTTCTCCAGAACATGAATGTTTAATATATTACAATACTATGCTACTTAGGAAAAAAAACAACAAGATAAACTTATCTTAGCAATCTAAATTTCGTAAATTAAATAATGGCCATATAATGAGATTATTTCACAACCATCCTTATTCTGTGACTTTTTGCCAAGAGAGAGAAAACAAATCAGTTAATTTGGCCATTCCTTAATAAGAATTTAGTTGCCAATTCCTTTCTAGGGACCACACTAACAAGATGTAAGCTCCAGAAGTCCCTAGTGTTGCATTCTCCTGCCAACAACATTACTGAGCACTATGGCTCTAACTCTATAAAGCAGAATAGAATCTACTGACTCTGTGAGTGAAGAAAGATGATTCTAATTGCCATCAAATACATCAAACGCAGACACTTTTCTGAACAACAAAAGACTTAGGGTAGATGACTTTCAGGAAAACAGACAAGCTCTCCTTTTTTGTAAAGTCAGTGTACATTAGAGGAAGTAAAGGAGAAAACATGAAAAAACAGATCTTACAGTACATTTAACTGAGCTACTTTTTCCTAGTTGAGAGACTTCTCAACTGAATTACAATTCTATAAAATGTTTCAAACCAAATGAAATAGAAGACAATAACAAATTATACCACAAGCTTCCACATATAAAATCGTAACTTATAACTGAAGGAACATACAAATCCTGTTGACTTCAGTATTGTAACAAACTCAAATTAATGTTTGCCTTTTCTACCATTCAGTTTCCAACATCAAATGAGATCACGATACCAACTTTACTCACTCTACAGTGTTCTTAAGGTCTTTATCAATTATACCAATTCAGTCTCTATAATACATATCTGATCTTGAAGATGGGCAAAAAGGAAAAACTCAGAGACTTTTTTGATATTTGAGCTTTCCAAAGTTATGTCATATAATAAAGCAATGAATTCAGAATCAAGAGACAGGACTACTAGCTACATAATCAAAAGCTAACCATCTGCCTTCTGTGGACTTCAGTTTCTTTACTTAGAAACACAAAAGATTTAAACTTAATGCCGTTTTATGGACCCTGCCAACTCTACTAGTCTGTGACTCAAGGAGAAGAAAATTTAAAAGTCAGAAAATAAGAAACAGTAACACTGTTTAGAACTGCACTCTCAGCCACAAAGAGTAAGAATGATGGAGAAAGCCATTCCATCAAAAAATTAAAAGAAGTCATGATACTAATTTCTTTAGCTTAATTCTTGAAAAAGTAAAAATAAATAAACTGCAATCTACAGTTAAGCATACTAGATTGACTATCCATCTTTACCTCTACTACTTCTCCAAACCTAACTCACGTGACCTTAAAGGGATTACCGAAAGGGAAGAACAGAAGAGAAGGTCACAGCAATACAGTTTTGGAAGCTGGCAAACCCAAATGAACATGCAGCAACCGACTTAAGAGACTAGAGTAAAGCTGTATTAAGACAGCAGTGGGAAATAAGCCAGAAACAAGTCGATTCCTACCATAAACTAGCTCAGTAATTGGAAGTACTGGGGCATCTAAGAGTGAGGATAATATTAGGACTCAAATAGGATTGGTTAAAAGCCTGTGAAAGAAGCATCAGACACTCAGTTTGCCTCCTCCACCTCTCCCAGTCAGATAACGACTCCTCTCCCATCTTGAAAGGCCATAGGTATCTCTAGATTGGGTAAACTAGAGACAACTAAGAATGGAAATACCATCTATGATCTAGGAGACTGACTGAAAATCTGCATAATAAAAGTGAGACTCTCTTTCAACCATGATGGTGCCCTTAGTATCAGTCCACCCCTCCTTCAAAAACAATTTAAAACTTGAATAAAATATGTAAAGAAACAGCAATGCATTGAGGGGTGATAATCACTGAAAGGGGGGAACATACTTGTGGGTTCTACATTCACCCCAGCCTCTTCCCTGAAGAGAGTTTCCAAACTGTGCTACAGACCAATAGAGCTCAAGTATAAAGCAGCAGTCTTGCTGAGAAGTGGTCAGAGTTCAGTGCTACCAAAATCCTGGAGAAGAGGAAAAACAATAAAAGGAGTCCAAAAATCTACAAAAAATTCTGCTCCTGTTAGTCTATTCCTATGCTGTGCATACATGGAGGAGGACTAAAACAGACTGGTCCTGACAAAGCTTAAAAGCAACCATGGACAGCCGGGTGCGGTGGCTCATGCCTATAATCCCAGCACTTTGGGAGGCCGAGGCAGGTGGATCACAAGGTCAAGAGATTGAGACCATCCTGGTCAACAAGGTGAAACCCCTTCTCTCACACAGTCAAACTCCCAGCTACTCGGGAGGCTGAGGGAGGAGAATTGCTTGAACCCAGGAGGTGGAGGTTGCAGTGAGCCGAAATCGCGCCATTACACTCCAGCCTGGGCAACAAGAGCGAAACTCCATCTCAGAAAAAAAAAAAAAAGAAAAAAAAAGCAACCATGGAAAGTACAGAAGTTATTCATTGATGCTTCATCAGACTGTCAAAGCAAAACAATTTTCACAAGATACATGTTTCAGAGGCTCCAAGACTTTTCATTCACAATGTCTAGTATCCCATCAAAAAATAATGATGCACATTTATTAAAAAAAACAAACAAACCAGAAACAGACTCACAAATGACTCAAATATGAAGTTACCAATAGTGGACTTTAAAGTAATAATGATTAATTAATATGTCTAAGAAAATAAGATAAGAAGATGGATAAAACAGATTTTTTTTAAAAGATGGAGAATTTCAACAAAGAATTAAAATTTATTTTTAAAAAAATTAAGTGGACATTCTAAAACTAAAATATAAAATATCTGAAATTAAAAATTCATTCATGGATTTATAGCAGACAGGACACAGCAGAAGGCCAGGATCAGTAACCTACAAAATGGACCAACAGAAAATATTCAACAAAAAAACTTAGAGTAAAATATTTAAAAAAAACAACACACACCATGGGGGAAATAAAAAGAAAGAAATGTACAGGAAGACTCAATATCATAAAGATGGTCATTCCTAATCTCTATATTTAATGCTGCCCTAATAAAAACATAAGCTTTGGGGCTGGAGGTGATTAGACAGGCTGATTTTAAAGTTAATCCAAAAAAAAAAAAAAGTGAAGATGATTAATAGCCAGAGAAATACTGAAAAAGAAGAGCAATGAAGAAAAATTTTTTCTGCTTAATATCAAAACACATTACAAAGCTACAATAATTATGAAACAGGCAAATCACAAGAATCCAGAAATCGAAAAACTTTTAAAACTTGGTGAATAATTATAGTGACATTTCAAATCAGTAGGAAAAAAATAGATTTTGAAATACAGTTCAAAGCCAACAGTTAGACAACTAGGTAGCCACGTGGAAAAAAAAAGTTATTTCCTCATTTTACACCAACCTAAATTCTAGACGCTAAAATACTGAAATGTAAGAAATAAAAGGATAATAGTAATAAAACATGGGAGAATGATTTCTATCTTACAGTGGGGAGCTTAAGCGATTAATATGACTAGACCAATATTTTAGCTCATATTACCAATATCTCATTTTTCTAACAAATAAAAAGCTCCTACATGTTTGTAGGATCAAAAAATAAAACAATCCAACAGAAAGTGGGCAAAGGATATGAAGTAACACATTAACACCGAGAATGAATACAAATTATATTAAAACATGCCACCATACCCAATCTTTTGTAACAAGATATATAATTTTGGCTGGGCATGGTGGTTCACACCTGTAATCCCAACATTTTGGGAGGCTGAGTCAGGCAGATCACTTGAGGTCAGGAGTTTAAGGTCAGGCTGGCCAACATGGTAAGACCCATGTCTCTACTAAAAATACAAAAAATTAGTTGGATGTAGTGGTGCAGACCTGTTATCCCAGCTATTCCAGAGGCTGAGGTAGGAGAATCACTTGAACCTGGAGGCGGAGGTTGCAGTGAGCCGAGATGGCGCCACTGCACTCCAGCCTGGGCGACAGAGCAAGACTCCCTCTCAGAGAAAAAAAAAAATCCAAACATTTTAAAGTACAAGGGGTAAGTTCTACGTTATGTATATTTAACCACATTTTTTTTAAAGTACAAGAGAAAGCATGTTTCATCAATCAGAATGGCAAAATTCACAGTTTATTACTGTACTGTTTTGTGGGGAATAGAAGAAAACAATATAGTGGGAGTATAAATTGGTATAAACACTAAGGAAAATAATTTGGCCATTATCTACCAAAATTATAAGGGTATAGAAACTTTAATCCAGTGATTCAACTTCTAGGAATTTACCCTATAAATATTTCCAAATGTAGGAATATAAAGTATATACAAAGTTATTCTCTGCAGCACTGTTTCTAATAAGGCAAAATGTAACTATCCACAGTCAACACAGCAACTGTTATGCTAATATTTCTCAATACAGTGTTAGATTTTTAGGAATCAGAATAAATATGGCATGCTATCATTTGTTTAGTAAAAGAAAATACTTATGTATATATTTATACTTACATTTACTCATATATGTGTATAAATACATATATATATATATACACACACACACACACACCCCTGGCTAGTATACCTATGGAGAGATACAAAATAAACTAGTAATATTGCCTAGACAGAAGGCAACTGAGTAGTTGAAAAGATTTTTCAATCTTTCACACTTTCTGAATTTTGAACCATACAAACGTACTATCCATTCAAAACAATAATGTTAAATATTAAAAACAATAATATCTGATCGAAATAGTAAGAATACTGGCTAAATCAATTTCTCCAATAAAAATTCTTCAGCAATTCCCCATTTCCAAACTCCTCACTTTTGACATTCAGTTTTTCTAAGGCATCACCCTTCTTTTCAAGTATGTGAACTATGCTCCAGAAAAATGTACCTCAGCCTCTAGTCAAATTACTCATCTTTCCTCACATTTTACTAAGAATTTCTTTCTTTCTTTCTTTCTTTTGGAGACAGAGTCCTGTTCTGTCGCCCGGTCTGGAGTACTGTGGCGCTATTTCGGCTCACTGCACCCTCTGCCTCCTGGGTTCAAGCAATTCTCCAGCCTCAGCCTCCCAAGTAGCTGGGATTACAGGCAGGTGCCACCACTCCTGGCTCATTTTTGTATTGATTAATTAAGAGTCTCGCTCTGTCACCCAGGCTGGAGTGCAGTGGCATGATCTCAGCTCACTGCAACCTCTGACTCCCAGGTTGAAGCGATTCTCCTGCCTCAGCCTCCCAAGTAGCTGGGACTACAGGCTCGTGCCACCACGCCCAGCTAATTTTTTTTGTATTTTTTTGTTTTAGTAAAGACAAGGTTCACGGTGTTAGGGAGGATGGTCTCCATCTCCCGACCTCGTGATCCACCCTCCTCGGCCTCCCAAAGTGCTGGATTACAGGTGTGAGACACCACACCCAGCTAATTTTTTTGTATTTTTTGTTAGAAACGGGTTTCACCAGGTTGGCCAGGCTTATCTTGAACTCCTGACCTCAAGTGATCTGCCCAGCTTGGTCCCATAAAGTGCTGGGATTACAGGCATAAGCCACTGCGCCCATCCACTAAGAATTTCTTTAAAGCCACAAATAAGCAATTTTTAACATAATAAAGTTTTGCGAGCCACATATAAACAATTTTAGAGTATATTAATAAAAAACTCAACTTCGATTAATCTGGAACACATGCTATTAAGCATTAAGCTCTCATCAGGTGTTTCCGATATTCTACAGAGAGGCCATCCTGAAGGGAAACACTGGTAAAGGAACCGCAACAGATTTCAAGAAGTCTTTTGGAACTGCCTACAGCTACAATCCATGCATACAGTTTTCCCTAAGCAATAAATGCCATTTTGAATTGTGAGAGGGGTCGATTTATCTTTTCAGGGAAATAAGTTCTTTATTCCCTTTATTTGAAAAAGCAGAAAGCAAAATGGAATCTGTTAAGACTTTTTTCGAAATATTTTTTCTTCTCTGTAAGTCTATTCAGACAGTATTCAACAGATTTTGCAGAGGAAACTACCAACAGGTAAAGAAAGAATTTATATTTGTTAAAAGGTGTCATGTTCATGACTTAGATTAGCAGGCAAAAGATCAGATAGAGCAAAATTTACTTGGAAATTCAATGTTAATGTATTATTCACACGACCGCAAAAGAACTCTTCTGGTCGAGTTCCACAGTCTTTATTAAATTCCTGACAGTGACTTTTACTGTGAAAAAACCTGTCTTTCCTCAAACCAGGCTCCTTACATTTCACCTAGAACAACGGCAATTTTAAGTGAAACAGGTCTCTAGAACCTCTAATACCAGACAAATCTAAATGAGAAACAAGGAGCTACTGCTCCCCAAATTTGGCTCCCCTCCATCAGCTCTACAATACTGCTGCATCATAAGAAAGGTTATTATTAACTTACAATGGATGATACTTTTAGTCGTTCATAAACATTTCTAATGAAACTTTCTACTTCTTAAAGCAGATCTTAAAGAACAAAAAATAGGACTGCATAAAAAGTAATGATAAACTTAAAGTAGAAGAACTATTAATACCTTACGTACGGAAACTGTGTCAAATCATGGAAACTGAAATCTAAGATTACAGGGTAACCGGCTAACTACTACTCACATTAGCTTCCTAATTAAATTTATCTGTAATTTAAGATTGGACACAATATAAGCAATCTAAATGCTTGCTTATCCATACTAAGATTCCTATTATTTTAATCTCACTACCGCTCTAGTTTTTAAAAACACTGCAATGTCCAAGAATTGCTTTGTAATATCTAGTTTCTTAAAGAATTATCATTTAAATAAGATTAAGGTATTTTCCCTGCAAACACTTAAGGTGGTGATTATCTGTGCAATGTCAATACAAGCAAGTCTACGCACATCTATCTCATTTCTAGGATGATTTTTACCATTTTGCATGTCCTTGCTTCCCCCAAGTGGCACTCACCTCAGTGACACAGGACGTTAGTAGGAATAACGGTGATGACTAATAAGCATCAGTCTAGGTGTGGCAGTCTTCCTATGGTGCTTAATGCAGCAGAGGTACCATCCCGCGTTTTGAAAATGACATCCTGAAAGAGAAACCAAGTCTGTCTAACCAGCAGCAGCCCACAGTCCAGACTGAAAGGGGGCACTGAGACTCTCCACACCTGACACTCGTCTTCAGCTGACACCACGAGTTTGACTCTGTCCTGCCTCGGGCCACGCCCGTAGGACAGGTCGACACCACCCCGACGAAACAAACTGGTTTCCGAGTCCCTTGGAAACGGCGGGGTACAGTAGGGGGAGTGCCTCCGTCACCGCCTCTCCAACTTCACAGAGGTCGTTGCTAGTGGCCACCGCGGGGTGGGGACGGGCCGCACTCGGGACTGGGAAGCTACCTGGCTGCCACGTGTTCCTGTCTCGCAACAGTGGTTCTAGAGTCCGAGTTATGGGGACAACAGCTCGAGACGCCAGGGTAAGGACTCCGCAAGCGGCCGTCCCAAAACCCTAGAGCGAACGCAGACGAAGGGGGAGCGGCCAGCACGTTACCGGCGCTGGAGTGTGACGTCAGCGCGCGGAAGGCGGCACGCAGCGGAGGCGGCTGGGATGGAGCCGGGAGGCTGGTTAGAACTGTGGGTCGGGAGGGGCGCGAAAGGACGGGAGGGGCGGGTTCTGCAGGCGGGAAGAAAGAAAATATATCAGGCATGAAAAAATGGAGTGGAGTGTAAAGCTGTTAAAAGTCATGCAGAGATAAGGGAAAGAACTCACTAGTTAAAGCCAATTTGGAATATAAAGCATATAAAATTTTCCCACACCTACTAAAAAAAGGGACTTTTTTTTTTTACTTGAAAGCGCACTTAGAATTACTACTTACCACATTTTTAGAAGTAATTTCGCTTTAAAAAGCAAGCTTTTTCCTATTATATTTTGGATGGTTAAAACAAAAAATGTTTAAGTCTTGAAATTAAAAAAAAAAAAAACTGTAATGTGGTTTTCTATACCTTTACATCGAATAAAGGTACAGACGGCTATACACTGCCAAACCCTTCAATATACAGACAAGTAGTTTATAGCGTGTATAAATAGGATGTATAAACTACTTGTCTGTATATTGAAGGGTTTGGCAGTGTATAGCAGTCTAGGTACCTTTTTTCACTGCGGGACTGGCGAAGGTAAGAAGAGATTCCCCTAAAACTATATAATCTGGTGTCACCTGAGCGGCCAACCTTATTCCTACCAGGGACATTAAAAGGTTTTGGCGGCTTTGCCAGAAGATGGCGCTCCAAGTCACCCAAGCTGAAAAGCTGGATAAAATTTTCCTTGTTTCTTCTTCTCTTCAATCTCTATACAGCTACAAAAGGCTGATTTTCTCATTCTTTCCACTTCTAGACTACTCTTTTGTGGGCCCTCCCACCCCCGGTCAGTCGGTAGGAAATTTGGTGTCTGAATGCACAACTGTAGTTCTACCCACATCCTTTTGTACATCAAAGTGAAGTGAAATGTTGCCAATTACTAATCTAAGCAAATTCTTTCTGCTGCTTACAGGAAGAATGGCTAGTCAGCTAACCTCCTTAGAGAATTCTTTAGGCTCATGTAATAAACTATTGGTGGGACTATAAAATGCTACAGTCTTTCTAAAAGGCATGATAGCAGTATGCATATCCTTTGACTCAGCAATTTAACTTCTAGGACAAGTGAGCAATGATTTATATACAAGAATAACTATTATTGTTTATAACCAGGAAAACTAGAAATAATATAAATGTTTAACAACAGGGAATTGACTAAATTATAATATATTCAAATGATGAAATATACTAAAGCCATTTAAAACAGTAATCAGGATTTATTTTTATTGATATAGACAGATACCATTGATATATTGATAAGTAAATAAAGCAGGTTACCTAAGATGATTACTTGATGATTTCCGTTTCTGGTTTACATAACCCTGTACAATTAATTTTTTAAAAATTTTAAACAAGAATGCTTTGAGGCTTTTCTTTATTTTATTGAACTTTTCTTTCAAACAAAAAAGTTTTTGCTTCTTGCAACAAGCAAATAACACAAATGCACAAAGATAGAGCTTACCTCCTCCTTCCCAGAGCTCCCTTCTGTGCTGTCCTCCACAAAACCAATGTTAACACGTCCATGAATAACATCTACATTTTTCACTAAGTTCCTAAAAACGTAAGCATGCATTTTTATATATTAGTCTTAGGGTTTTTTTTTTTGTTTTTGAGATGGGATCTCATTCTTTCCCAGGCTGGAGTGTAATAGCCCAATCTTAGCTCCTTGCAACCTCTGCCTTCTAGCTCAAGTGATTCTCCCACGTCAGCATCTCGAGTAGCTGAGACTACAGGTGAGTGCCACTACACCCGGCTAATTTTTTTTTTTTTTTTTTTTTTTGTAGTGACAGGGTTTTGCCATGTTGCCCAGGCTTTGTGTGTGTGTGTGTGTGTGTGTGTGTGTGGTTGTTTTTTTTTTTTTTTTTTTTTTTTTTTTTTGTAGAGACAGGTTTTACCACATAGCCCAGTCTGGTTTGGAACTCCTGACGTCAAGTAATCCGCCTGCTTTGGCCTCCCAAAGTGCTGGGATTACAGGCGTGTGCCACTGTGCCCAGTTGGGATTATAGTATACACATTATTTTTCAACTTAACATTTTTTAAATTTAATAGTATAACATGAATATCTATGTGGATACCAACTAATTCCTGTGAATGATATTAATATTTCATGATATGGCTAGCCCAAAATCTACTCCATTCAGTAGACATATTATTTCCAATGGTATAATTATTTCTGTGGGATAGATTTCTAAAAGTAGGTTTGCTGGGTCAAAATGTATTCATAGTTTCTCACTTTAATCCGCCTATGTTTTGGTTATGAAAAGTTCTTAACTCCTTATTAATAGTGGTATTATAGTAAATGGAAGGGGATTAGCGTATGCCTGAGCTATTCTACTAGAGACTTTTCAGAAATATATTCTGCCATGCATTCACAATGAATTACGCACTATATGTTAGATGATAGGGACAAACATATTCAAGGAATGGATATTGTTATTCCTTTTTTCTAGAAAGCAGGCAGCAAGCTGAAACAAAACAGAATAACAAATAGAGAATAACACATTAGAGCAAATGGTTGGTATAGAACTACACTGAAATACTTTCCTTTTGTAAAATTAATATGTAAATGGTTTTATTAAAAGATCATGTATTTGTGAAGGTGTGTCTGATTATACTGATCTACAATCTTTTGTGATTAGCGAAGGACCGAAAATATTAAATATGAAGAAAAGCATTCTCTAAAATCCAGATTGCTTGCAGACATGTAATATTCAAATCCATGAGAGAAAAAAAACTCAATGTGTTGGCATATAGTACTCCACCTTGCTACATTCTAGGAGATAAATTTTTAGTTATTTAAGCCACATTCCTGAAAGTCTACTCTAGTCTTGGGTGGTTTGAACTCACCATTAACTCTGTGTAGCTATGAATTAAACTGTAGCAGCCTACTGAATTTCTGGATTTTAATCTGGTAGGCCCAGCTCCATATGCAAAGATAAAACATCTAGTTTGCTCCTGAGTTTCTGGCTTTCTGAATTGGGTCACCTGCCAGGATTCACAGACGAGTCAACCATCTGAAGAGAATGATCATAATCTGTTTCTAGGATGAATAAAACAAAACACTGTGCCCTTAGCTGTGTGCAGCCTAAGAAACAAGTCACTTCATGAGTCTGTTTTCGGATATGATTGGCTGAAAAAGCTATGAGTGGATCAAGTCCTACTGAGGGAGTTTTGTAGGAAACAATCACACTAAACTGGAAGATTGTTTGCCATGTCAGAGGTCTCAAATTGTAATCAGAAGTGCTAAGCTATTTTGGATAACTTTATGCTATCTTTGGGGAAAAGACAAAAGAGAAGACAAGGATACTTTCACTGACTTCTGTGATGCCAGTAGGATCAGAAGGAGAGTCTAGACTAGAATCACACCTACTGTTTTCTAATAGCACATTTTAATCTCTTCCATTCTCTCTGAAACATAAGATCAAAGTTCTTTTTCTGAAACAGCTCATAAATACATGAAGTAGAGCTATAAAATCTTGTTTTATTTTTCTGTGGAACTTTTTAAATATGTTTTTGAGGCAGAGTCTCACCCTATCATCCAGGCTGGAGTGCAGTGGCGCGATCTTGGCTCACTACAACCTCCGCCTCCTGGTTCTAGCGATTCTCCTGTCTCAGCCTCGAGAGTAGCTGGCACTACAGGCGCCTGCCACCACACCCAGCTAATTTTTGTATTTTTAGTAGAGACAGGGTTTCCCCCTGTTGGCCAGGCTGGTCTCGAACTCCTAACCTTGTGATCCACCCACCTTGGCCTCTCAAAGTGCTGGGATTACAGGTGTGAGCCAATGTGCCTGGAATAAAATGTATTTTTTTTAAATTTGTTATGGGAAGTAATCCTATTTCTAGGTTTTTTTACTTCAAGGAAAGTTCACAGTAACTTGACTGATCCAGGGAGCAAGATAGAAGAAACTGAGATATGATTCCCAGTGCTCTTTACTTTGCCATTTCCATAAAATAGTATCATACAACCTGCCACTCTCAGAGGGATAGAATTGCTGGCAGAGGGAAAGGTTTGAACTACCTCCATTTGTTTCTCTTGTTTATATCCGCCAGGAACCTGCTATCCTACACCTGATTGTAATTGGTAAACACTTACACCGTGAGTCAATCTTTTTCTCCTTTTCCCTTTCCTTGAGGCCCCAATAGTTTTCTTGGCTGGTGAGGGAAGTGTAAAGCTAATTTGAATACTGGTTGCATATTTGTTATTATTAACTTAAGCTCCAACCGGTCCTAGCCAGAAAAATCTGACTTACAGTAGAAGAAACTGACCCTTTTCACATAACTTATTTTGCTATGTCTCCAAATACTTCCTGTATACTGGGGGCTTTTAAAAAATGCATACGGAGACTTGTGGTTAAAAGAGGAAATTAAGCACCCTATGGTAGGCAAGATAACACCCCTCACCGCTGCCCCAATCCCTGGAACCAGTGAATATATTAGATTACATGGCAAGGGGGAATTATATATGGTATGAGAAACATTCAGTCTTCCATTGCTGGCTTTGAAGATGGAGGAAGGGGGCAATGAGCCAAGGAAGTCAAGTGACCTCTAGAAGCTGTAAAGTCATGAAAAGTGGATTCTCCCTTAGAGCCTGTAAAAGAAAACAGCCCTGCCAACACCTTGATTTTTAACCAGTGAAACCTATGTCAATCAGACTTTCGCCCTACAGAACTCTAAGATCAAAATGTGTACTGTTTCAAGCCAGTAAATTTGTGGGAATGTGTTACAACAGCATTTGGATACTAATACAAACTCCTTTTAAGGTTCTAGGAGCAGGTATTTACAGTATGGTGATCAGGTGGGCTGCTGAATTATTTTCGAATGGGAGAAAAGCCCACAGTTGAGTCTGTAAACCGCCTTACTGGGAATTATCTCAGCCCTAAGAAGTTCCTTCTTAATCACTCCCACTAAAATAACGGATCTGGTGAGAATGCCAATCAATCAGGATCCTTTCTGTATTTACCGTGATGGAATGAGATCAGGCAGAAAGTACTCACATTAGGGCACTTAAAATGCACCAAAGATCTGGCTGTGGTGCTTCCACTGTTGTTTCCTCCCACCAGTCTGTTGAAGAGGAAGTTCAACTCACCAGGTTCTCTGACACAAACACCAGAGGGATTGCAGAGAAAGTTTTTTTCGCAGATGTGATCTATTGTTTTATCACCAAGCAATCACATACTACACTGTTTAAATTATTGCCCCACAAGTAACACAGTGTTTCTGACTGAGCCCTTTGGATCAACTGGGAAGAATTACACACAGGGATGCTTAGGTCCGACATGGGAACAATGAAGACAGGATTTCTGGGAGTGGGGCCTAAGCAAGGATATTTTCTGAAGCTCCCTAGATGGCTCTGATGCAAAGTGCAGACTGAGAACCACTGGTGCGATGATTATGTATGCCAGAAACCATGACCTGAAAATAAGTTTTCATAAAGGAATAAGGTAGTGCGTAACAGGAATAGTATTACAAAAAACAAAACGTGCAGACTTGTTCCTGCACAGTTAAGAGAGATCCTTGGACAATCCTCCATGAAGAAACTAAGAAAGTACCATGAAAGAATTTTTCATCATTATAGAAAGCAAGTTAAGATTGACTAATAGACCACAACTACTGTCTATATTCTCAAAATTTACATGCCTTTCCAAAATTAGCTACGTAACTACAGAGAGGGGAAAAAAACCGTGAGTAAATCTCTTGTAAAAATTCCACTTAGTTTGGAAAAGTTTTTGCCTGCTTTTCCACATTTTCTAAGAAGAATCTAAGAATCGTGGCCAACAGTGTCCCAGGTGAGAGAAAACTGTGCTTGGATTACCATAGTTCTACAAACTCTACCTTGATAAAAGTAATGAAAGAGTCCTGAGAAGCTTGACTGCACTGTGATCACTACGTGCACTATACCAGCTCTGAAGCCCCGAATTGTCTTTGAGAATATTCAATTCTGCTCTAGAAGAAAAGAAATAGAACAAAGCTCACGTGTTGCTAGCCTGCAAAACAGTCAGTGGAGCATGTATGTGTAAAAATAGAAAAGGCTGGAAACCAGGTCTTATTTAATATTCATGAAGCACAAAATATACAACAGGCACTTAACATTCATTAGTAAGTGTATATTCATAACATACTAAATAAACAGGAGCTATTATACGTTCACGGGTCTCAATTCTGCCACCCAGTGGTGACACTCAAATTGATCCCGCACATCTGCCAAAGAAATGCCAAACCTGTACCTGCTCAGCAGGCTGTCAGCATGCTACCGCTGTGGCCACGCATTCTCCCACCGCATCGCCCAGCCCCTGCATCGGAACATAGCTCCCGGAACGCGGGATCAGGTTTACTGAATTCTGTGACCCACGCTGGGAACTCAATACATGTTTGCTACACGGAAATGAACTCAATTCAGACCGTGTAGAAACCCTAGCGTATAGATTTTCTCCAAACATTTCATTTCCAAGCAGTATTTTTGAAAATGCGTGATGGCTAAATTCGAGTTACCCTTTTTGTATGTATGTTAAGGGCACAAGCAGCGACGACATACGAGGCGAGGTGACACCACTGCACTCCAAGCCCGCACGCCACCTATAGGCGCAGGGGGCTTTCGGTGCTGGTTTCAATTCGGAGGCCTGCACTTTTCTCCGATCTAAGTTTTAGGAACCTGTGCTCGTCGACGGCTGCCAACAGTTTTCATTTCAAGGCCGATGCTTGCTAGTTTCACAAGCTGCTCCCGGACGCTGTGGCCTCTCCCTGGAGTGGATCCGAGCTGCGCGTGACACTGGGAACAGCCAGCGCCTGTGTCCTCACCCAAACGCCTCCCACAAGG